TAAAAGGTGACATCAAAGCGCCTGCAGGACAATCATCCTTTTGTGTACCTGTTCAAGGAAGATATCATGTGCAATTAATCTCGTGCATGAATTTTGATCCTCAGCAATTCGACATAAATGGTATGTTCTTTCTCCACGCCTAATTATATGAGACATGTAAAATGTGGAAATTTAGTTGCTTCCGACCAAGTATATGAAGCTAAAGCCATGGACGCAAAAATCACTGGCACGATAAAAAGCACTGACGGCAGCGGATTTGTCGTTAAAGTCAAGTACGTTGTTTTATTCACTTCCAACTAATTATCAATATTTTTTTGCGCTAAAGAAAATGTTTTTTTCTAATTGTTAGTGATACTAACTATTCCACTTTTGTCCATGATCTCACTTCAGATCCGGCGCTGGAGAGCGTGATGTCTCTGTAGGCTCTAACGGAAAGTTCTCCTTCTATGAGCCTATCACATCTAGTGGAGATGTTATTCTTACCCCTACATCTGCTACTCATCTTTTTGACCCTTCAAGTTTTTCATTACGATTCAGGTCAGTACACAGAGCGCTTTTTTTCGTTTTTTTAGAACACTTTTACAGAGGAGACTGTGCTGAACATGTTGTGGAATTCGTTGCAACTAAAGGTATCTTCATTGATGGTTCTATAACACCGCCTGTTGCTGGAGTCAAGGTATGTTAACCTAACTTCTTTCACCACTAAACTTTTTTCGTTGGCTTGATCGTTTTATTTTGCTTTTTTAAGATTATTGCCAAGCACAAGCAAGATTCCAGCGTTTATTTCGAGACCAAATCTGATAAAGAAGGAAAATACAGGTTGTAGTCTAGCTTGTTTCATTCCCAAAAATGCTGAATCTCTTCTATAGGATTGGCCCTGTGCGACGGGCAGAAGATATGAAAATCACTGCAGAGCTCGATGGATACACTTTCAGCGAGAAGGGTGGTCTTGTAGGCCAACTGACTAGCACTAAACTGAGCAAGCTTACTGTTGTTGTGGTAAATGGTTATTTTCTCTTGCAATCGCCACCGTACTATGTTTAAATTAATTTGATTTAGTCGGATATTGCGACATCAGAACGGCTGGAAGACGTGCTGCTATCCATCGTCGGTGGAAAAGAGTATCGTAGTAACAGTATGATTGACAAAACTGGAGAAATCAATTTTGTTGGTTTGGTGAGCATTTATTCGCAGATTTTCTATAACAATGTCGCTCCGAAAAGAAACTTATGAGAGGTGGGGGGATGCAAGTTTGTCAA